ACAAACTCTTATCACTCTAAGCATCTATCAACTAAAGGTTTATTTATATACGTGAGGCAAAAGTTTAATAGGCCTAGCATACTTTCCAGATCTTTAGCAAAGCATATACATAGCCGAGCTAAGCCAAGCTTGAAAAGTTTAACACTTAATCGAATTTCTTTTCCAATTTAGCGCTTACTCAACGAGGATTTTCCGCTTAACTACATACTTTTCTTTAATCTTGCAATATTTTTGCGAATATACTATACCGTAATTATCTCCTTCATTGCTTTTGATAAAATTACTAAATCTTTCACAGTTCAAAAAAAAATTTGATTTTGTAAAAATTGTTTGCGAAATAGAAAATGACCTTTCAACTTGGAAGGGATCATATTATCAATCCTATCTCAATGGACTGATATGCTGATAATATCAAACATCTAATAAGTTCAATTAAAAATTCAACCAACAAGATTCGCTTTAATAATTTAAATTTTTAAAAATTTGTCATACTTATTATACAATCAAGTGATCGATCATGAAAAGATTCTGTAATTTTTCTTTTTTTTTTTTTTTTTCATTCCGCTGATATCTTTGAATACAGTTCTAACAAAAAAAAAAAAAAGAAAAAGTGAAAATGAATTTTATTTGAAAAATTCAACTTTTCAAAAAATTTTAATTTGTTTTTTAATTGGACAAATTTTTTTGTGGTAGAAATTAATTTTTGAAAAAAAAAATTTTAACAGATGGAAAATTTTAAAGATAAAAATTTCTTTTGCAAAAACTTTCACTCGTTAATGAAAACGTTTTGGTTACTCTTTTATTTCCAATGAATTTAAAATGTAAAATTTAATTATTTCGCTATTTTATGCAAACATTTTCCAATTCTTTCTCTTTTTTCCCTCATTTTTTGATAATTTTCTTTTTATTCTGTTTATTATTTTGCATATTTTTAATTTCATTTTATATCTTTCATTTTTATATTTTATTATATATATTATACAATATCTAATATATAATATATTATATTATATATTCGTGTTATTATATCTATTCGTGACTGATAAACTCTTTGGTAATTTCATTTTCACGATGAGAAAGATGTTCGAATTTTCCGGAATTTATGCTTAATCTAACAAAGTACCGGAAGAACGATTCGATTTTTATCGCTTTTTGATATGCTGGATTTATTTTCTGATGAAATTAATGCTAGCTAAAGTTTAGATTCTATTGAAAATTTCCATTTCAGGTCTTTTTCTTTTTTTAGAGTAGTTAAAAATTCTTTAAATTCCGTTAATTTCCAATTATAAATCTTATAAAAAGGCCATATATGGTAGCGAATTGTTTCAACTGTTTTTTTTTCTACAGTAGCTTTAGCATCATTCAAAGGTCAAAAGTCAAAAACTGAACTTAAAAAAGATCACCCTAAATCTGTTGTTACAAGTTATTGACAATCATAGGAGAAATAGGATGGATTAATAAGATAAACGAAAATAATTCATTGGACCTAATAATGGAATTTATTAGATGAAATAAAACATTACTTTAAAATGAAGTTGCTGTGACGCACAAAGTTGACTAAAATTTCCAAAAGACCAACTGTTGGCATCATTCATTGTCTGGGTCATAGGTCATTCCTGTGCACATTCAATGAAGCATACAATATTTGTTTATTATCCTTTTAAATTTATCAAATTTGTCTAATTATTTTCGAAATTTTTGCTATTTATTTAACAAGTAAAGTGGATGAGTCATTGTTGCTTATTTGCTTATTCAACTGTCGCATTTAATGACTAACAAAATAATCGCCAATAATTTGCATTTATTATTAATCGAATTATACTATATCTGTATCAGTTAGCACTATCAAATTTCATTTAATTCTCATCTCATCTATATATGAAATTTTAATCAGAACTTAATTTTCCTCAGCAATTATTATTTGGGTTCATAGGTCATTTCGATGAAGCATACATACCTCCGTTACTTATTATTCCAACTTTGCTAAGTTTATTTTTTTCCAAATTTCCTCAACAAAAAAAAAAGAAGAAAAAAAAGGAATTAAATTAAAATTCGAAAAGCCGAATATATAAAAGATAAATTGTATTCTATACATCATCTTTTCATCTCTATGTCCTTTCTATTTGAAAACATTTTCCTGAAACTTTTTCCGTAACTCGATCCGATAAAAATCATCTTTAAAGTGATATTTTGATATCATTTGAGATCAAACAATTAATCTTCCTTTCTCAAATGATCAATCCCTTCTACCTTTATATTTACCTGTTTGATAATCTTTTCCGCACTTCTATCCGGTACGAATCATTCTTTAAAGCCTAAAAATTATTGTCCAAAATTTCGATTCCATATTAATTAAGATCAAGTCTCTTATCAAATCAAATCAAATTCCTCAAATAATCAATAATCTCGTTTGAAAGAATGGCAAAACTTGTTTAACATATATTTCATTATGGTTGTACCTTCATTCCATCGTTGAGAAGACAAACAGCAAAAAGGAGTTGATTATAAAATTAAGTGTAATTCATACATGCTTGCGTCAATTCAATGAACTATTCAACAACATATGACCTTCAAATGACCCTAACAATCTATTGGAATGATTCTTATTCAGTATGAAAAAAATTGATCTAAATTAACGAATGGGCGGCTTTATTTTATTATGAGCGCAAAAATCGTAAGTATCATTGTTTACATTTCTCTCGTCCATTTTTCGCTGATATTTTCTCATATTTTCCTGATATTATCTGTCATATTGTTTTAGTCAACAGGATGAGGAGAGGAGAGGAATATTCAAATAATTATTGTATGAGAAAATTACAGCAACTTTCTTCCTTCTTTTTTTATTGTGATTTCATTTTCTATTTCAGCTAGTTTTTTCTTTTTTCTTCTCCATCTCTCTCTCTCTCTCTCTCTTTCCTTCTCTTTCTCTTTCTCTCCAGGAAATTTCTGTTATATTTAATAAAGGTATGGTTGATTTTTCCTTACCTTTTCTTTTCCGTAACTTTATCTTTCTTCCTATCTATTTAATTTTTAAAACTTCAAGGATTTCAAGAAGGATTCACAGTAACATCTTTGGTCCAAGTATATTCAATCCCCGATAATTGATATAGTTTTTACCTAAACTTGAATTGATTGACCCTTCATCAAGTATAATCAATTCCTGATAATTGATATAGTTTTTACCTAAGCTTGAATTGATTGACTTTTCATCAAGTATAATCAATTCCTGATAATTGATATAATTTTTACCTAAATTTGAATTGATTAACCTTTCATCCTGGAATAGATGCTTCAAGTAAATGTTTTTCAAACCGTTCTTGAAGCTAATAGGATAGCATATTTCATTTTTCTTTCCCATCTTTAACAGTTTTTATTAAATCTATCGCTAATTACTGATAACAACATTGTCATAATTATCACCAAATAACAAAAACTTCTAAGTTGGTAGATTCAACATTTTATACTTAAGCATTTGATAGTTTAATTTGATATTCAAATATTTGAAAGTTAAAAATTTGAAAGGATTGTGACAGGATTTCCACAGAGGTAATGTGTTATCATTTCCTATTCGAAATAAGTTTACGGAATACTTTGTATTTATCAGTTTTTCTATTTCGGATTAAAATTCATATCGTACGATCCTGTTATTTGCAAAATTTCTCACAATTTAATTACCAACAAACTTTTCAATCATTAGTGGGGTATGCTTGAAATTAGAAGCAGTCCAGTTGTAATATGGTGATACGGGTTTAAATATAGGTAAAAGTGAAGCAGTGATACGGTGATATGGGTTTAGGTAAAGGTAAGGGTGAAGCAGTCCGATTGTGATATGATGATATGGGTTTAGGTATGGGTAAGAGTGAAGGTGGTAGGAAATGGCATTGGTACTCTCAATGAAGCGAATATAATTTTTGCATCCATTCTTTTTTTTTTTTGATATTACACATTTCTATCAGTTTAATGGAACCGAATGGCATTTTTAGGAAATTTTAGATGGATTTATATTTTATTATTTTTTTCTCCATAACCTTGGGTAACGATTACAACAGCTGGGGTAGCATCCATGGGAAATTATTTATTCATTGGAGAATTAAAACTATTCAAAAAGATTGTGTCACCAGTTTAATATAAGTAAGTTAAACCAGTTATTCTATGCAGCAATTCCGGAATTATTCATTTGTCATAAATGCCATCCTATAGATGTATTTTAATTCATTTACACAATATATAAGCAAATATTGGTCAGTTGGTCTAAAAATGCAAGTCACTTACGTGTGCTTTTACGATACTAATATCATTTCTTCATCTAACGTTTGTGTCACTTACGTGTATTTTTATGATACAATTATCGCAAATATAATCATATCATTTTTCATCTGATATTTTATATCACTTTCATATACAAACAGAACAATTTAAAATGAATTATAGTTAATGATATGCAGTAAAAATGCTGATTAACGCTTATCAACTTTGTGTGTCTCATTTCTCATTCGCAAGTTTATTCACTATTACTACTGTTCATGTATTCGAAATACCCTTTCCTGCATATTCCTGGTTCCAAATTTTTTTTTTTAAAAAAAAAACAAATTTTCATTTTTCTGATACTATTTGAGTGAATGATAACTTTGGATAATAGTAATTAGAAAAAAAAAACAAGAAAAAATGCCTTGCCACTTTTAATATTATTCAAAATATTTGTTATTAATTACGGAAAATCGGATTAACTTAATTTCCTTTGTATAGTTAGTAGTTTAGTGATTATGATTAACTTGTTAGCTAGTAAGCTAAAGAATTTCAGCAACTTAAACTTATAACTCTTCAGATATTCACAAAACAAGAAGTTAGAAGTATGGAAGAAATTGGTCTTAGAAAAATGAGTAAATTTCCAAAATTTTGCATTCCTGTCCACTTTGATTCGTATGTATGGTCATTCTGTTTGACCTTTGAAATCTCATTAAACATGCAAATATTGGACAATGAAAGAACCAAATATGATAATAGCAAATCCATAATAAACGCTATTTTCTGGTTTTTATTTGATAAAGGAAGCATATGTCGAATAGAATTGCAGAAATTTACTCTTATTATTAAAGATGTTTTCTTGAAAATAATTCCGAAAGTAATATTTTTTAAATTCTAAAACCGGTTTTTTCCCGTATTTCTAATTCCTTGTTTTGTGTAATATTTGAAGAGTGCTAAGATTCTGTATGTAATAAAACATGCTAATCGTTTCCACTGAATTACTAAGCAATTTCATTTATATAAAGGAAATTATGTTAATCCGGTTTTTCATAATTAATTACAAATATTTTAAATATTAAGGAGTTTTTTAGTTACAAATTATTTTTTTAGTTATAAATATATACATATATTTTTTATTTACAATAGTCATAAATATTTTAAATATTGAGGGGGGGGGGGGTTTCCAAGATTTTAAATATTGAAAGCTTTTTTTTAAAATTGCTATTACCTGAAATTATTATTCATTCAAGTAATATTTAAAAAAAATAAAAATTTGTTTCTTCTTATTGCATACAATTTTTCTTAGCCAAACTTTAAATTCAAATTAAAATTTTGCAAACTTTCTAATATCATAATATGAATGAATGATAAAAGTATAGGAAATAAAACTGATAACATCAATTATAATTATTTAACTTTGTCAATCTATCCCTGTTGTATTTCCATACTAATCAAAGGTAATTGAAAATGCTTATTAAATGCTAACAGGTGAAGATCGGTAAGATGAGAAATACTTCTTAATAGAAAATAATCGGATTAATGCAAAGTGCTAATCATTTTAAAATGTTACAATATGAAGAAATCATTTGTTTAATATTCTTTCTCTTTACTTTATTAAAATAATTTCATCTTTGTCCTTTTCTATTCTATTATTGATTTTCCATTTGCAAAACTAAAATTAAGTATTTTATGTACAACTAAAACAAGAATTTTTTTATCGAATCTTTTTTTTTTTTTTTAAATAAAATTTATTTGAGCCAATAATTAAACCAAAGATCACATATCATTCATTTTAACTTTTATTGTTTTTCTTTACCAAACTGTGATTGAAAATGTCATTAAAACCAAAAAAAAAAAAAAATCTCATGATTTAGATAAAATCAAAGAACTAATTGCAAAAATTTATTTGTTAAAATTTTCAAAAAAAAAAAAGTTGTCAGTTAATGAAAATAAATTACTTTAAATATTATTTGCAATTGGCAATATTATTATTATTATTATTATTTTTTTCTTCCTAAAAAAAAGTTATTTTAATCATTGTGTAATGTTTAATATCTGATATCATAATGAAAAAATAAAAAGAAAAAAAAAGAAATTAGTTTAAATGCTTCCGTTAATTGCTCACTTTTTTTTTCCCCTGTCCTATATTGAACCATAATAAGCCTATAAATGTGACTTATCTTGATTAATTAATTGAAAATATAATTTAACATAAAATGAAATCCGCAAAAAGGACATTTTATTTCTTTTTTTTTATGACTTTAATTTTCTATTTGTAATTAAATTTTAAAATTGCAATCTGAATTGTTTGCAACTCTGAATTGCAAATAATGTTAAATTAAATTTTCACTCAATTCACCAAACAATGACACCATTTCTTTTAGCTATACAATGTACCTTTTTCATTTTACAAGCATTTCGTATTGATTCTTCTTCTTTTTGTTTTTATCCTTTTTTTTTTTTTTTGATGAAAATATCGAAATCCTTTTTTTGGGTCATTTATTTTTTTAAATTTCATAAATCAACTCCAACTCTTTGTGTTAAAATGTTATTTCAGCGCAATTTTTATTACATTTAAATTATTGAAGTATTGTATGATTCAATTTAGAAAGTTTTTCTTTTTTTTTTGTTACTTTCCTGTTTTCTTCTTTTTTTTAAAAGTTATTTTGGCCTAAATTTAGTTTATCAAAATTTGGTTAAAATTCCAAAATTTGTTTGAAAATATTTAGTTAATTTAGTTTCAAAGAAAAAAAAGAAATTCAATTACTTTAGTTACTTTTTTAATTACTAGGAATGTTACTAATTGATAGTTTACTTTCTTCCTTCTTTTATATTAATTTCTCTTTTCTCTAACTCAAAAATTAACCTAAATCTTCATATAAGATTAATTTGGTTTGAATTGTCATTTAAAGTTAGTTTGGGACTTTAATCGTCATAAAAGCCTAATAAATTGCTGGAATATTTGTGAAATAGATAGGAAAAACAAGATAAGTTTCATTTTCAACTATTTAAATTAGGTCATTCCAATTTATTCACAAGAACTAAATTATATTGGAACAATTTTAAATAACTGATTAACAGGTCAAGTTAGTCATGCAAAATGACCATTGAATATTCATAATCTGTTCCTTTGCAACATATTTATATGCATATATTTGTACATTCATCCACTTGAACACAATCTATCCTGTGATATTGTCATCTTCTTGACCTCTTCCATTCATTATTCGGGTCATTTGACCTCTTTTAAGATATTTTTTGATCACTTTCTCAAATATATGTATTTAATGTCTAACTTCTTTTTCCATTTATTTCAAATTTTATAATTTTAACTTTGATTATCACTGAAATGTTAATAAAAGTGTCGAATTGTATAAGAATGGAATGTTGTCAAACTTTGCTCCTTTTCATTTCATTCTTCTTCATTTTTTCCATTTTCTTCAATTTCTTTTATCATATTTCCATTGATAATTAAAACTGATAAAAATTATTTTACTTTACATCCGTAAGATGAAAGAATGCATTTACGTTCATTATTAATTAAGATAGATTAATCAATTAATCAAGATGGATTTTTTAATTAAGATAACTTTCATTATTAATTAAGATTGGTTTGTAATAATACAATGATTTCGTATTTTATTTACATATACCCTTTGACCTTTGACAAATTAACAAGATTGATTTAAATTTTGGAGATTAGATTTAAAGGATAAAAACTAGCAGAATTTTTCATCTACCGCATCAATCTTCATCAATAACGAGAATTTCTCCGATATCTTCATTTTTTTTTCCTGATTTTTTTTTCTTCAATTTTGAATATTACAATTTTTTCTAACATTAATCGATTAAAATTTAACTCCTATTTTGCAATTAATTTATGCTAAAAATTTCAACTCTTTTAACAAACGAAGATATTGTTTAGAATTAGGAAATTCATGCAATAAATTAATCAATTAAAAAATAAATCAATAAATCATTAATTAATTCATCAGATCATTTCTATAATACAAATCAAAAAAAAAAAAAATGAATTAGCAGCAAAAATGATTGTTATTTTCGTAATTTAATAGAAAATCAATTCATAACAAATAAGTAAG